TCATGAACGCTAGTTCAAAGCCAAGTATCACAAATAAACACATCATGTTCCCCCAGACCAAAATATCAATCAATAAATGTAAGTCATTTACAGTTTATATTAGACATGTTAGAGTTGAAAAATAAAACATTTTAAAAAATGGAAGTAAACACGTGACAAATTAGTAATGACAACAGTTTTTTGAATACCTCAAGTATCAACATGAGAAAAGTCAAGAAATATCAAAATAAGTAATTCAAAAACACAAATTCATAATTTATTAAAAGACCATTAAATTTCGCAGAAATACATGTGTACATCAAACCGCTGAAATTATATAACATTGCGTTAAATTTCAATAAATCTTGTCAGTAAATTTAACTCTGTCAAAATATATACTTCTAAAAATCCAATTTATAGCTTTTAATTACTAAGTATACATAATCAAGGTTATAGTTGTCTTTTTGACATTGTGTCATAGATCAAATTTATTCGTTCAGTGTATTTTTACTTGTTTTTGTTAATATGTCTTTTTGAGTTAATTAAGCCATTTCATTTGATATTCTATAGTGTGTCTTTCAATGTTGTAATGTTACACTACTATTTCAGGTTAGGGTGAAGGTTTGCGCCTGTTAAAACGTTTAAACCCGCTGCATTTGTTTGCACCTGTCCTTAGTCAGGAACCTGTTTCAGTGGTTGTCGTTTGTTGGTGTGGTTCTTAAGTGTTTATATAGATTTTTTATATAGATTAGACTGTTGGTTTTCCTGTTTGAATTATTTTACACTAGTCATTTTCGGGCCCTTTATAGCTTGCTGTTCGATGTGAGCCAAGGCTCCGTGTTAAAGGCCATAATTTGAGCTATAATTGTTTACTTTTTACACATTGTGACTTGGATGGTGAGTTGTCTCATTGGCACTCATACCACATCTTCTTATTTCTACATACAAAAGGTCAAGTATCTTTGCTCAAATGCATTTCTAACAATGTCTCTACCATGTAAAACGATCTCTGAAACCATTGGTTTGATTTAATAGCCTGTCATATTCATTCTGGTGTTGCTATCCATTTTTGGTATAATTGGCGTTTCCGGAAAAAGTAAATTTAGAGGCATTGATTGAACGCTAGCACTATATGGTTCGCATTGATGATACTGCCACTGCTGGAAAACGCTAAAGCTTAACCTTAAGCAGGAGCGAATTCGACTTACCCTTCCAAAGCACAATTGATCTTCAGCTTTTTTTTCTTTTGAGGGAAAAGTCTTTAATTTTCTACGTAGTTTGTATGGGAATTTTTTTTCATCTTTGGCCACGGGTTTTTTTTTTTAAATCTTGATTTCTTATTGTTCCTGGGTATGTTTTGCCCTTTTTATAACTTAAAAGTTTCTGTTCGGTCATATTTTATTTACAACGCAACTCCACTTTCTTTCTCAATAATTTATACATCTTCATATCATATATCAACGTGTTAAAGTACAAACATCTAATATATATATTATTTTAAAAGTAATAAAAGCATTGTAAGAATCTATGAATTTTAGTGAAATTGGATACACAGAATATATAAAATCGTATGTAGTTCAATAAATACAATAATCATCATATAATGTTAATGGTTGTTACAAAAAATAAAATAATAAGGTACTACTTCCAACGCAATCAACAAGAATAATCTTTTGTTTGCCAAAATTTCTTTTAAAACAAACCAGAAAACCAATTCAAAAAAACGTTCTTTTTTGTTTTGTTTATTAACACTTAAATAGATTGAGTAACTTTTTGCTGCGAACCGAATGTTTATGCGCAAGGGTAATTTGTCAATTCGAAACTACTGCGTCTAATGAATACAGTTTAAAAAGTCTTCAGCTATTTCATCACTTTTACATTATTTTCCAAAATGGTGTACTGTACTGATAATGCCAGTTAAAGAAATACAAAAGAGTATTTTCCCGATTATTTTCTTTCATCATATACATTTATCTAGTTTATATGGGGGACAAACAGAAATATAGACAGGACCAACCAATACTAGCGGATATAGGAACAGATAATAGATTCGTTAAAGATTTTGAGAAAATAAAGAGCCACTAGAAGCACAAAAACACACATTGTAGTACGTACAAAAGGTACCAAAAACTCGATAAAGATATTAGGCTTATAATTTGGTACGACAGACGTGCGTTTCGTCTTCATATAACTTATAAGTGGCGATAAAAAAACACAATTCCAAACGAAATTCAAATACGAAAATCAATAGCATCATTAACCGAAGATTCCGAAAACTAGTATATTCTTACAAACACAGCAAAAACATATTTGTAAAACTTAACACTGTTTGAAGTATACAAAGTAACAAAATCATATCATTTGACTGCAAAATATAGATTCCTACATTATATAATCACTGCAAAATATGTATAGCTATATCATATGATCACTGTAAAATATGTATGGCTATATCATACAAGAGTGCACACGCTGAAATGTCTCGCCTACTATACTGACCATTGATTTTATGTTGATAGTCCTACATATAAAGTTTTACTACAAGTGTCACATTAACATTTATGATCCAAGAAAATGAGGTCAAGGTCAGATAAATCAAGCCAGAAATACATGTACACCTTTATTACAATCATTTCATGCACAGAATATAGATGACCTATTGTTTATAGTATAAAAGAAACAGACCAAACCATGGAAATTCTATATTGACCAAAGAACCATGAAAATGAAGTCAAGGTCAGATGAACCCTGCCACTCGACATGTACAATTTAAAATCATTCCATGCATCAAATATAGTTGACCTATTGCTAATAGTATCTAAGAAACAAAGTTAACCAGGAAAACTGAACATTGACCAATGAACCATGAAAATGGGGTGAAGGTCAGATGATTCCTGCCAGACAGAAGTATACACCTTACAATCATTCCATACACCAAATATAGTTGATCTATTGCTTAAAGTTTGAGAAAAACAGACCATAACACAAAAACTTAACATAAGCAATGAACCATGAAAATGAGGTCAAGGTCAAGTAAAACCTGCCAGACTGACATGTACATCGTAAAATATTTCCATGCACCAAATATAGTTGACCTTTTGCATACAGTATTAGGAAAACAGACCAAAACACAAAAACTTAACATTGAGCAATGAACCGTGAAAATGAGGTCAAGGTCAAATAAAACCTGCCAGACAGACATGTACATCGTAAAATATTTCCATACACCAAATATAGTTGACCTACTGCATACAGTATTAGAAAATCAGACCAAAAAACAAAAACTTAACATTGAGCAATGAACCAAGGTCAAGGTCAAATAAAACCTGCCAGACTGACATGTACATCGTAAAATATTTCCATACACCAAATATAGTTGACCTACTGCATACTGTATTAGAAAATCAGACCAAAAAACAAAAACTAAACATTGAGCAATGAACCGTGAAAATGAGGTCAAGGTCAAATAAAACCTGCCAGACTGACATGTACAGTAAAATATTTCCATACACCAAATATAGTTAAACTATTCATACAGTATTAGAAAAACAGACCAAAAACACAAAAACTAAACTATTACCACTGAACCATGAAAATGAGGTCAAGGTCAGATGACACCTGCCAGTTGGACATGTACACCTTACAATCATTACATACACCAAATACAGTAGACCTATTGCTTATAGTATCTGAGATATGGACTTCACCACGAAAACTTAACCTTGTTCACTGATCCATGAAATGAGGTCTGACAGGCATGAGGACCTTGCAAGGTACGCACATACCAAATATAATTATCCTATTACTCATAGTAAGAGAGAAATAAACATTACAAAAAATCTTAACTTTTTGTTCAAGTAGTAGCTGAACCATGAAAATGAGGTCAAGGTCAATGGACATATGACAGACGGAAACTTCATATCATAAGGCATCTATATACAAAGTATGAAGCATCCAGGTCTTCTATCCTCTGGAATATTAAGCTTTTAAGAATTTAGCTAACGCCGCCGCCGCCGCCGCCGCCGGATCACTATCCCTTTGTCGAGCTTTCTGCGACAAAAGTCGCAGGCTCGACAATAATCACTGCAAAATGCACATGACTACATTACATAATCACTGCCAAATATAAATGGCTACATTATATAATCACTGCAAAATATATATGACTACATAACATAATCACCGCCGAATATGGATGGCTACATTATATAATCACTGCAAAATATGTATGGCTATATTAACACAATCACTTCAAAATGCACATGACTACATAATCACCGCCGAATATAGATGGCTACATTTTATAATCACTCCCATATATATATGACTACATTACATATCACAGTCAAATATAGATGACTACACTACATAATAACTGCCTAATATAGATGGCTACATTGCATAATCACTGTCAAATATAAATGGCTACATTACATAATCACTATCAATTAAAAGACAAAACAAAAGAGTTCTCATACTTTTGCCTACTAACAAAATATGCACTAAATATGATATTTTCATTATTCTAAAGTAACTTTTTATATAACTTTCATTAAATAATAAATCTAATTTGTCAGTTTCTGTCGCCTCTACCGCCTCTTCTACCTCTCCTCCAGCAGCCTCTACGGCCTCCTCTATTAGGACGTGAATCAGACGAACCAGGAACATATTTCGGACGGCCAAATTCTCCTTTAAATGGTTTGAAGTTTTCATTCGGTTCATTATTTATCTTGTTTTGTTGCATATTTATTCCAAATGTTCCTGCAACCTGCTCCTGATGATAAACAATATTTCTCTGCCAGATTCTATTATGATCTGCTTCTTGATCATGATGAGAAACAACTTGCTCATGACGAAGAACACTATTTCTCTGCCAGATTTTATTATGAACTGCTACTGGATCATGATGAGGAACAACTTGATACAGATGAGGAACAGTATTTCTCTGCCAAATTCCATTATGTCCTGTCCCTCTGCCTTCAGTGGAACGCCCAAAATTCGATTCCATAAAATTGGAAGCACTGAAACCTCTTTATGGTCGCCCAACGGAAGAGTTAAAATCTGTATTATATCCTTGATATCCCGCTGAACGAGTTTGAAATGAACGTCCAGCCACCTCAACTGTTTGTTGATTTTTCTTGCCTCTACCACGCCCGCGTCCGCGACTGTTTCCTCTATAATAACCTCCATCTGTATTTGGATGAATGTAATCCTGAAGTGTTAAATTATCTGATGAACGATTACTGCTTTGAAAATGTGTACGAACTTCTTGGGTGTTTGTTTGTTTTGTATCCCTTTCAAATGTTTCAGACATTCTATTTGTATTAGATTTGTTTCGTTTATTTCTTCTCTGCTGTGCGCCCATTACGTTTCCTTTGCCTTGATGGTATCTATCCCTTTCAGAGTTTTCAGTTAGAGACTGGAAATGTGTTTTCCAAAGAACTCCTTCTTTCGACTCTGCAAACACTTTTGAGGTCGAAGCAGCAGAACAAGTATAACAATTGTGATGAATCAAGGTCGATGTAAGATGGCCTATAATGAAAATAAAATTAGCTTTACATTGATCTGTTTTTGGAAATAAAAACCGTAAAAAATGCTATTGAATGTTGAATTAAACAGCAAGCTGTGTTATACAAAGTGAAGGCAGCCATTTGCTGTCAGACTCACGCTGACAATATCGGGTTGTCAATTTTTCTGATCATGTGCTATACCTGTTTTCAATATTCTTCATGTGGTAATTTTTAACATGAAGTAAAAAAAACATCCTAAAACTATTTTTCTGTATTTTTTTTTTTTTTTTTTTTTTAATTTTTTTAATTTTTAGAATATGGTCTTCATTGTAATTTTAGAAAGTGTCGGTTTCTGTCTGCTCCACAAAATATCTTTTACTATCAATAGACCACATATCATGCATATTGCAAGTGATATGTGACTCGTGGTCACTGAGAAACTAAAAGTTAAAGCTTGAAGTTGATCACTGAATAAAGAACAGAAGTTGGTGTAAGGTGTATCCTATCACCTTGCCATGCAACTGAAAAACGTACACAAGTATGAATAAAAGGCTCTGCGGGGCGCAGCTTGATACGACCGCAGAGGTTAAACCCTGAACAGCATAGGTTTATGACACAGAATGAATGTAGGCAAAGTACTGAAAAATTTGCAATTGGACTTTTTCCTAATATATTCCAATATCCAAAATCAAATTACACGGTTAATTTCAGCAAATCCATGTACACCAAGAATTTAACTTATTTATCTATTAATGGACAATATAAGCTAAGTTTTTAAAGGGGTCCGCTTCATAAATATATATATAGCATTCTGAACCATTACATTGACTGATTCAATACACAAAAATCATTCGTGTATAGGTAAAAACGACGGTTAACTTATTTTTTACCGTTTTTATGAAATCTAACAAACCTAGGAAAATCCAATTGCACGTAGTTGCTATCTATTTATATTTATGTTTATATCCGGTTGAATGACCATCGGCAGTCCTCGGAGGTCATTTCGATGATAAATTAATTAGATGGTGTCTAGACTAAAATACACCCGATATATATTATCAATTCCAGACATCGTTAGTTGTTTATTTTAGACTTATTGTAATTTGAATAAACGTTTTAGTATAATTTAAATTAAATATGAGAATCTTAGTCAAATTGGTGAATATGAATTTGACAGCTAATGTCCCTTTAAAAACATGAAAAATCTTTAAAACGTACCTTTAATTTTTTTTTCAAAATATCTAATAATGAACAGTAACTTTCAAATGATATTAATATATTATTTCCATTAATTTTATTTAACTATGAATCTACTTTCAATTTCTATTAACTGTGCAATACAGCTCTGAATTTGGATTGTGATTGTGACATAGCATAGGTTTCTGATACAGAATGAATGTGGTCTAAGAACTTAAATATTTTAAATTGGACATTTACATATTATGGTCCAATATCCAAAATCTAAATACACATCATGGTTAGATTCAGCATATCAATGAACCCCAAGAATTCAAGTCTTTTTTAACCCCGTTGAAATTGGTACAAAAATTAAGCAATTTATACAAAGTATCAGAAACGTATTTGTTTGGTCCCTTTTCCCGAAACAGTTAAGGCCATAATCCTCAAATTCAACACCAACCTTCCTTTTATGGTATCGAACATTTTGGTACAATTTCATAGAGTTCCATAGACTTATACTCAAGTTATTGTCCGGAAACAAGAACATACAAGTTTTTGGACCTCTTGTTGATCCCTAATTCCAAACCGGTTTGGGTTATTACCCCAAAAATCAATCCCTACCTTCCTTTTGAAGTATGGAACCTTGTGGTACAATTTCATAGAGATTCTTACACTTATACAAAAATGTCTTTCGATGACGACGACGACGACAACGCCATATCATTATTCGACAGTAAAATGTTTTCGGTCATATAAAAACAATAACGGTTACCACTGAACCGTGTCATAACGGGTTCAACGACATACATGTGAACTTTATGGATCAACTCTAGTGGACCTATACTCATAGTTCATCATTAACTGCCTTCAGCAAGAAAAATGTAGGTTGTCTTGATCAACGCCATGTGACATATATGCCATACATAAATTGCTATACTATCTATTGAAATATAAGCCTTCAGTTCATTTGTAATAAGATAATATCCCCTCCAGATTGTTACGCACATTTGCGACATCATGGGAGTTTGTTTTGAAGAAAAACCGTGCAAAAATACTAATATAAATATTAACAGCTCTAGGTTTTCAATCACAACTAGGTAAGAACAAAACTTGAATAATTATATATATTGAATAAATTTCTCTATATTTTACCTTGCTTGCATATTTTCCAGTCTTTCTCGTGGACACCAATTGCCGTAACAGAGGTGAGTTGTGGACATTGCATTGCCTCTGTAAAATGAGGTTCATTTCTCATAAAGGGAATCATAATATTTAGTAATCTTTTTACTTCACTTTTCCGATTACTAATCATTGTGTCTTCGATCTTTCTCACAATGTCTAATCCAGTTAGACATTCTTCGACTTCCGTTTGTGATATCTCTTCAACTTCAAACAAAGCTGATAGATCAATAACTTCGAATTTAGTGTCCCCATCGTTACCCTTTATACCTTTTATGACAGGTTTAGATGTCTTTAATTCTATGAATTCAGAAGAGGAATCTATATTATCTTCAGGAATATCATGTGAATATGCGCTATCATTTTCATCTTGATTTTGGACTATATTTTTATTTTTGAATTTTCTTTCAAGAAGTTTTTCATTGTTTGTTACAAGTTGTAACATCCAATTCACATATAAACGAAATATCGCATCATATATATCTATCAAATTCTGTAGGCATTTACTTTTTGTCTTTTTCATTTCCTTCAAAATGTTTTCAGCATATGCTTGAAGGGACTTAATCTCAATTTTTTTCGTGTCTCGAGCTATGTAGCTGATGATTTGTACATAGGTATTAAATGACCCAATATAATTGTGGAATTGTTGAACAATTTTTGAATCACACAATGGAAATGTGTAATTAGACTGTTTTGTTACCTTTTGAACGTTCTCCTTAAGTTCTTCTGTTAACATTTTCTTCCTTTTTAGTATTTTATCATACCGTGGAAGCCAATAAAAAAACTTGCCCACAACCTGGACATTGGGAGGTTAAGTTGTTAGCAGTCGTTTCCATGTGTCTATCGAGAAACATATACCCAAATGAGTGTCCGCATTTTTCTATTGCGACGGTTTTTATTCCTTCATTACCTTCCATAAAGTTTGCTGCATCGCAGCCCTTGCAAGAAACTGGACATGGCTCGCTACAAAATCCTGGGCATTTATGACCACAAGTCAGTTTATGTTCACACTCTTCTGAACAAAGTGGTCGATCACATTCTTCTGAACAGATTTCGATCATTGATAGAGCGGGCACTTCCAAGGGCATGACATTTTGCAAGGAACACAAATGTCTCTACAAATTAGCTTGCAAATATCATGAGCACACGAAAAAGAGCAGAACTTATCACACGGTCTACATTGCATACATGTTTTACTGTCACTAGTATGACCACAGAACAAACGCTTACCACATTTGCGTTCGCATTCTTTGTGAATGATGTTTTCTTCGCATAATGTACATGTATTTGTACAAGAGTGACCGCAAATTAAAATCTGTTCACACTTTTGATTGCAAACTGCGTTGTCGGGAATTCTACACTGAACAGTTATCTTATGACCGCAAGACAGTTGCTTGTCTATCAGATGTTCACATAACGGTATTTTACGGTCGATTTCATCGCGATAATCATACCTCCTTCCCAAACCACCCCTTCTCAGTGCAGTTTAGGCTTTAAGTTGCAATTTTTGCATATCTGGATGTTGACAACATTCAAAGTACCTTTCATGTCCACACTTCGGGTACGTATAGACAGAATTTTCATGACATTCGAATTTGTTGTGCTTTTGATAGCATTCAACCATTTTCGTGTGTCCACATTGGTCCATTTGTATTTCAACAAGTGCTTTGCAATCGCTCACAAGTTTATTCAAGGTTGTCCAGTTTTTATTTTCCCAACACGTTGTTTGTCCTATATGGCCACAATTGAGCTCAATATCTACAATTGCTGAGCATTTAATATTTGTATATGTTCTTGCAAACGCTCTAGATAAGGCGATCAGTTTTTTGTTGTTTTCGTATCGAAACCGTTCAAAGCATTTGACCGCGGTTGTATGACCACATACTAAATTTAGATCAACCATAGTTTCACATTCAATTCCAGCTTTTCCCTCTGTTTGTGTTAATGCAGAGTTCTTCTCGTAATTTAGTTTCTTGTAACACTCTGTTGCTATCGAATGACCACACTCTAAATTAAAAACAACTTCCTTCGAACATTTTTGGTTATGCATATCTTGTATATATTTCGACATACCTTTGCCGACCTCTCTAATTTTAAACGACATCCAGCATTCGCACAGGTTTGTGTGGCCACATTCAGGTAAGTCAACTGAAATAATCTCACGACATTTGGTACGCTTTTCGTATAACTCTCTCTCCCTCGGTTCAGCTGTTTCAATTTTGTGCTTTTTAATGCAAGCTATTTTTTTATGGTGTCCGCATTTTTCAAGAATAAATTCTACCTGTTCGGTGCAAACTGATAATTTGTCAACCTCTTTCGAACATCTAATCAGAATAATATGACCGCACCGTGGTAATGTTTTATTCATCTTTACGATACAAAGACAACGGTTAGGAAAATGACATACACGATCACAAATATGATTGTTGTCACATTGTTTCAGGCATTTCTTTGTGCAGGAAAAGTCTGAGCCATCTCTATTTTGATAGCATTTTATAATCTCTATATGTCCACATTTAAGAGCTTTATAATCTTTTATTTCACACCTGTGTATACGTTCAAAATCAATGTCGTAACATTTTCGTTCATATTCCTGACTACAGGGCTCGTATACAAGTAACAGTTTCTCTGCATATATATTTATCATAGTCTATATGGCATTTCAAGATGACTTTATGGTCACATGATAACGTACGCAAAACTTCACGTTTTTCATATGAATATTGATAATATCGATTCTATTCCAGAGCATGGATAACTCATAAAAAAGTACAGCAGCCAAAACACTTTAGATCTATTCGTCAAGAAGTTATTTGGGGAAATCATTTTATTAATATAAAAATAAATGCTTTTTATTTCAAAACTGGATAAATAGCAACATTATCTATCTATGTTAGTGACATTATTGATGAAAATGGTAATATAGAAGAAAATCGTTTTTTTTTTTAAAGCTTAAAATAAAAAAAAAAACAAAATAACAATGTCAGAATATTGCCAATTTAAGAAAGATTTTCAAAAGGAATTGTTAAATATTTTACAACAGGAAAATTCAATTAAAATTAAAGTAACAACAAGTTATGTAATATATATTAATAACAATTGTAATAATAAAGAAAATGTAGAAAATGTAGACACCAGGAAAATTTATAACATATAAATTTAGAATGAAATTGAAATACTTGTTGGTTTCTACACATGGAAGACAATGTTTAACCTTGAATTCATTAAGAGTCTTTTGTGTAATATGTTAAAGTTTATTCATCATTACATGTATATAAAAGATAATAAGTACAAAGTTTCCGTTGGAAATTGCTACACTTTATTCTACCTTGTAAAGTTTTACTAAAACAGTGGAAGATCTGGAATATTTCAAATTGTCATCATTGCAACACCACTGAAGATTATGATCACATATTTCTTAAATGCCACTTTCTTGATAATTTATTGAGTAAAGTTAAAAAACTCCTTGAAAAACTGAATATTTATGATAATATTCTAACATTAAAACAAATTAGTATTGTATTATAAATAAATGACAAGCAATACTATGGAATTAATTATTTGATTACAATAATTATGTTTTGTATATACAAGGCAATTATATGTCTGAACAGAAAACAATAATTTCTTTAGATGTATATTCTGTATTTAAAGCAGAATGCATGTACAGTTATAAAATACAGGCAACTAGACAACCTACGAAGTATAAATGTCTACTTGATAACGTTGTCAAATGTTGTAATAAGTTTTACGTTTGAAAATGTATAATCTAGCAAAAAAAAAGATAAAAAGTTAAAAACATTATAAAATCATATGTCCGGAACTGATTTAGAGAAATTATTTTACCTATCATCGACAAGCGTGGATTGATAACGGTACTCTTTATCCTCAGTATGTATTGTTAAATAAGAGAAAAATATATTAAATACTATAATTATTAAAAAATCAAACTTACTATATTGCATTTCTTATTTAGGCATACTTGGTGAATAGCTCATAATCATATTTTAAATCAACATTAAAACTGGTGTGATTTCCGAATCAGGAAGAGATTTCAAAATGATACTAGTTAATTGATAACGGAAAATTAACTATTTCCGGAAACAACTTGTACTAAACAAGCTAGATGACATATATCGATTAATGAGTATTTTCATAAATATTTTATTATTTCATGATTGAAAATGATATAATATGATTTGATTTAGATGTAATGTAATAAAATGCTCATCATGCTTACCAGAGAGTAACCCTGAATTTCTGGTAAATAATACAGTGACCTTTCACTAGAATGCTAGATTAGTGAGGTAAATTGTTAAAGACCAAACAGTCTATTCAGTTCTATCAGTAATTTGTCCTTAAAATTTGTGTGAAGGTATTTCATGATTTTCGGAACAAAATATGATGAATCCATTTGTGTTTAATTTTCACTAGATATTAGTGCGACGCTTAATTCAACTTTCCTTGCAAAACGTATTTTTACGCGTACACCATATCGGAATCCGTGAAAAACGTGAAATAGGACTTTATAATTTGACGTTTTTTGCATGGCTAGAAACAACGTCATAGAACTTTTATGTCACAACCAAGTTGCATTACTTGATGCGCATTAACAATAGGCTGTTTGGTCATTAACAGCAGCATTGCAATATGTTGTTGAATAAAAAAAAGTTGGGATAAGAGAAAAGAATTCGCTTGACTTGAAGGTGTGAATTTGCAAGAAAATAAGTTATGAATCTGTAATAACATGAATAAGGAGATTGATTATTTGATTGTTTGAATGGTGTTTAATGCCACTTTTAGCACTATTAGCTTTTTCATAGCGGTCAGTTTTCATTGGCACAGGAAGTTGAAGTGGCCGGAGAGAACCATCGATCTTCGGTAGGAAAACTGAAAATCCAAGTCAATTACGATTAGAGTCGAGTTTACCTTCCCCGTGTCGCAGTGTTGACAGACTAATGATAATGTTGTTCGACTACTCAAACCACTCGACCAATCCCTCTCTTTGTGTGAATATAACGATTAAAACGATATTTTCTGGGTATGAACATGTTCAGAAAAAAAAGGAAAATGCGTATGCAAAAAAAAGTATTCGTTAAAAAGCTTTTACTTTTTTTACGACTAGGCCGTTGATTTTTGTACATAAACGTGAAATTTTCTCGGTATATTAGAGTTAAAAGTTAACATCACAACAAGTTCTTTAATGTGCCTATGGACTTCAATAATTCGAAACAATTAATCATTGATGCATATCAATAGATTTTGTTGATATTTTGTTCTGAATCTCTCTGAACATGGTGCTTATATATACGAAGAATCAGTGGCGTTTAAGTAACATATAAAGATAATAGAAAAATAGAATAAGTTTGGTATTTAAGGATATAAACTCGTTATAAATTTTATGTTATGACGAGCTATTCTGGATTTTCTTTTGTCTGGAACGCTCAAAACAAAATATTTCAAGGCCAAGAATGTATAAGTACCGAAACACGTAAAGAGCTATACGACCAAAACGGACCTTAAATAATATCCAAATGCATCTAAGTCAACCATTCCTGTGGTAGTTAACCTTAGTTTACTTGTTATTTCTACGAAAACGAATGTTATAAATCATGTTACTACCGACAAACTAACTACTGATCTGATGATAACCTCGGAGACAAAATACCGTCATTATTCATTTTTAAAAATACAAAACGT